ACATCTGTATCTTTTGAACTAATTTGTGATTACAGATTTTCTGTTTGCAGTCACATTTTGTTGGTGAATCTAGCGTGGCATGGATATTTGTGACTGATATTGAAGTAAAAGTTTCCAAGCTGAAAATGAGATTGAAAGAATGTTAGCTTTTATAACAAAAGCATGTTGATTCTGACTCAAATTTTAGATTTTTTCAAGTATAATTTTCAATATGACATTTTCTATGTTCCTCTTCCTCTATTTTCTTTCTTTCCTGGCAAAGCAGGCAAGAATCTGGGCCCTAGGTTAAGGCTATTTAGAAGGTTGGCTTTAAGTTTAGGAATAAAGAATTACTTTTGGAAGAGACAGACAGAGGCACTTATGAAGAATATGCTAAGACAAATTCCAGGTAGCCTGTGTATAGAAATTACACAGCTGAAGAAGAGGTTCAGGATGTGCCTCAAGGTGGACTAGGAAGACCAAACTCTGGAGAAGTTGAAAGAAGGAACTGAATCTAGCATGATTTCCCAGAAAGTTTAAGACTTTTTTGCCTGAAACTTTAGCAGAATGCTTCTGTTTTACAGTATGAAAAACATCAGCCACACAGTCAACCATGTGTACAGATACCGAGCAGACCCACTTCAGGTTCTGCTGAAAATAAGAGAATCCTTCAAAATAGAAGGTTGGCCTTCACAACCCTAAGAGTCCCCCATTTCTTTACTCCAAAGAAGTATTCTAATACTTGTTTAGTGGTAAATCACATATCTGTTCCTTCTCAAAAGAATACATTTTGTATGATCTATTCTCCTTTTTGTAAGGTCTTTGGCTTTAGCATCAAGTCTGGCTAATACAAGTGAGGGCTGTGACATGTTTGTTGCATTTCAGCAGCTCTTTATGTTGAGGGTGTTGTAATGTCCATATATGTGGGTGTCAAGTATAGTTATAAATACATCACATGTACATGTGGTAAGTCCATAGTATTTTCTTTAGTAGAGATCAACCTCATCCTAACACCACCCAGCAGAAGTCAGCAGGATGGATCAGGATTGTGTCTGCTAGTTTTCCCCTTTGTTCCCATCTCTCTTCTTTCTACTTTCCCTATATTGTTCATTGTGCTCAAGTTCCTGGAAAGAGTAGAAAACAGAAATTTTAAAGGTCTTATAGTGAAAAATCTTGTATGAACAAAAAAGTATACAGGAAATATAAACACTGCACAAGGAATAGTATAGTTCTCAAGTCTCAAATAATGTCTTTCAAACTATAGATTGCCAATCTTTGCTGGGTTGTAAAATGAATTTGGTGAGATCACACCTTATCAAATTAAATCTATAGGAGAAAAATGGCAAACATCAGTGCATATTGTATGTAATGAAGTACATTTTTCATAAATAAAGGGCAGAATTACCATATATATGTGTAGATATATATCCTACATATATAGATATGAAGCATTTTATGAAGTATGTGCCTTACTATAAGAGAGAGTTAAAAGATGTTTGAAAGACTTTCCGAGGGAGTTTAGAAACAAATTTTAATGAGTAAAGATCTATGAAAATGATTCTGCAGTTTTAAATTAATTTATAATCATAAGAGAAAATAAGTTCCATACAAATATCTTATTCTTGAAGGACTACTGAAGGACCAACTATCTTTCCAGAAACTTCTAGTTGACACGTGACCAACATACTACAAAACATTGCCTGTGTATGATGCCCCAAGGGAAACTTTCAGTTGTGCTTGTAAAATATACCACACTTAAAAGGGTAACTCACGTTTCTGCTCATTTGCTTTTTCCAAACATGTATGTGTTTAAGGCACTTTTTTAATGTGAAAGAGAAGACCCAAAGATAAATATTAGATTCAATAATTTGAAAGTGATCTCCTCATCCATCCTCCCAGTACATATTAGATTCACGGTGACTTCCGTGTGACAGCATGTTCTCTGAGTTCTCCTGGTCTAATATTTATTGGGCAAGAGATTCAAGGACTCAGGACAATTGATTTATTTTTGTGTTTTTTTATACAAAAGAAGGAAATAAAAAAACAAAAAACAAAAAACAAAAAAACGAATAAAGGCAGTCAAGGTGGCCTCAGGAGAAGTGGAGCCTGTTGTTGCAGGAATCTTGCAAGTTAATGAGAATTCACCCGGGACTCAAGAGCGATGGAGAGAGCAGAGAAAGGAGAAGATGGAGGGGGGATAAAACTCTTCCTTTGCAGCTGGCCCTCTCCCTCATTTGTTGCTCCAATAAGCAGTAATTAGGTCCTGAGCTAATGGTGTCAGCTGATCTGCTGTTTTTAGGCTAGACCCAGAGGAAATCTCCATGGAAACCCTGCTGGAGTCGTCCCCCCACCTGGATGCTGCGTGCTCCTTTCTGCCACCTGGCTGCCGCCCGGCCCGCTGCTACCTCCTCCTGCTTCTAACCTGCAGCCTGCAGCATGCGCACTGCCCCCGGGATCCCTAAATGGGACAATTCTGCCCGTGACGTCAGCGCCCAGCCGTCTCCACAGAAACTTTTGTCCCATTGGCCAATCAGAGAGCTTGGAAGGGGTGGGGGTGGGAGGAGAGGGGAGTGGGAGGGTGGGGGTGAGGGGAGAGGCGAGAGGTTTAGTGTGTGGAGCTGCTCGCGCTCCGCCCGGGCTGTCAGTCCCGGCTGCAGCCGCCGCGAGACCTTCCCGGAGACGCGCGCACACACGGCGCACCCCCTGCACACCGCACACCCTCGTTCCCTTGCTCACTCACACGCACACACTCAGCCTGGCCGAGCAGGAACCACTGACCATTTTGCAAGTGCCGGGACGAGCTGCGGCGCTGTGGGCACCCACACTCCTCCCGGCTGTTCGGGGCTTTCGTCTGGGAGAGGACGAGGAGTGGCGGCTGCGGGCTCCGACGACAACCGGAGCCGGGCACGGGTCGGAGCGCCTTCCTGGCAGAACCGCTCCCCGGGACGGGCGCGGGCCTCGGCGCAGAGTAGAATAAAGAGGGGCGACCGCGGCCACTGTGAGAGGAGGATGGGAACTCCCCTGTGTCCAGACCTGTGACCGGCGGATGGAAATCCCGAATGGAGGAACCGCTGACTTCATTCGCTGAGGAAAATCGTCCAAGGGAACTCAGATTTGGCTACTCTGTGCGGCGGAGGGGGTGTCCGTGACGTGCAGGGGGAAGACAGGCGACCAAACCTCCCGCGTGAACTGCAAACTGTGCCCAAGCAAGGGGAAGAAGACCTCTGTCTGCATTTTAATCTCATCCTGAAGGGCTGGAGCTCCTGCATCATAAACTTCTACATCTCCTACCCACTTCAGCGGGAAGCCAAAGGGTCCTGTCCGCGCCCCATCACTACCCGGGAGACCCGCAGCCAGCGGCCTGCCTGCGTGTGCCCACATTTCCCTGGATCGGATCTCTGTTTGGGGCACTACATCTGTCTTACAGAACTAGCCTCGTCTCCATGAACGCTCTGAATTTCTGGGACTTAACTCCCAGACTCTACATGGGGGCCATAATTCCGCCCCACGCATCTGAAGAAATGACATTTTAAAACACCTTGGTTCCTTAAGATTCCTATAAAGCAGGATTTGATAGGCTTACAAAATGTCAGGTAAGAACTTTCTCTCTCTCTAGCCTCTCACACCTGTCTCAGAGGAGGCTGAAGAGGAGCAGGACCCCAGGGGAGGAGTGCCGGGGACCCTCCGGGGATCGCAGGCGCCCGGCCGGGCCGCGACTTTCGGGAGCGGCGCAGCCCTTGCTCCTGGCCCGCGGGCCTCGGCTGGGGACGTTTGTGGGGCGCGCGCGGGGCGGCGGCGCTGCGCTCCACCTGCCCTGCCCGGGACGGAGCCCGGGGCCAAGACTCCAGGGACCACACTAAGTCAATATTGGGATTTTTAATAAACCAAGGAATGGGATTTTAATTATTCAAACCCTTGCTCCTCCGGGCCAGATGCTGTTGGGATGGTCCTGGTCGCACAATATTAAAAAGACCAACCCCTAGGAGGACGAGAACCGCAGCTGAGACATCCGTCGCAATTGCGAATGAACCAGACTTGGTAGCACAGGGCACTGATTGCGGGTGCCCAGCGGGACCCTCCTCCCCTTGCCCCGTTCCACCCCCACCAACCCCACCCCTCCCCACCCCACCCCACCCGAGGCAGGCTCCCGCGGCGGCCGGGACCTCGCGTCCCCACATCGTGGCCCGGGCTGCATTTTTCATGAGCCCAGGGTGAACAGGTGCGAAGTGCGTTGGGAGCATCCGGCGGGGCCGGGCGCAGGGAGCATGGAGAGCGAGCGCGACATGTACCGCCAGTTCCAGGACTGGTGCCTCCGGACTTACGGGGACTCGGGCAAGACCAAGACGGTGACCCGGAAAAAATACGAGCGGATCGTCCAGCTCCTCAACGGATCCGAGTCGAGTTCCACAGACAACGCCAAATTTAAATTCTGGGTCAAATCGAAGGGCTTCCAGCTGGGCCAGCCGGACGAGGTCCGCGGGGGAGGCGGCAGCGCTAAGCAAGTGCTCTACGTGCCCGTCAAGACCACGGTGAGTGACTCGCCTTCCTCTGTTATTTGTCTGCCGGAGCAGCCGGGCGGGGAGGGAGGAGCGGTGGGGGGGGGGGGACGCGGGGAGCCGTGAGCCACCGTTGGCTCGTGTGCCCCCACCCTCCGCAACCCCCTCCCCAAGTCGTTCCCACTCGCCTTCGCCAGACGCGATTTCCCCACCAGGAGTCTTTGTGGTCCTTGATTTTAAAGCTGCAGCGCACCTCGGAGCCGAGCCGGACCGGACCGCTGCCGCAGCTTCCTCCCCCGGGTCGGGCGGCGTCCTCGGGCTGGGCCATTGTCCCGTGTCCCTCGCTGGGCGCCTGGCTCCTGTCCCAAAGCCGCCACCAAGCAGCACAGGCCAGGCTGGAAGCCCGGCCACCCACTCCGCTAAAGGACGGTTCTGATCGATAGGCTAGGATGTGTGCTCATTGGCACAAAGCCTTCATGTGGCGATGGTGTTGCCCATGGGGTTCCCCCCAGGACACTTAGCAGTTTTTATTGTTAGACCCCCGCCGGGAGACACGAGGCAGTCGGACTGCCTGGATCGCTCCCCGAGATGTCCCCGCGACTGTTTAGATGGTAGATAAGGTCCTGGAGATTCGTCTTCCCCGCCTCCCCCACCCCCATTCCCTTCCTCACTGGCCCCTTGCACAAATACAGCCGCAACTAGATGATGAACAACAAAGGGAGACGGGTTTGGGCGCGATCGGATGCTACGTGCACTTGTTCCTCTTTCTGGGGTGGCTCTGGTCTCTTGGCCACGAAGCTGGTCCTGGTGGAGAGCGCCCAGGGCACCTAGCCTCACTCGCGGATGTCCGTGGGGCTGGGGAGCTGCAGCAGCCTCCCTGGGCTTTACCAGAAGATGCTATCTGAGGGATACAAGTAGGACTGCAGTTCAGATGCAGGAGAGCTTTCAGCCTTTTGCTGCGGTGGGTACGCGTCTGGAGTAAGGGTTGGGCAGCGATCTGGCACCCTTTGTATTTCTGCCTCTCTTTGAGATTTCTTCAGCTTCGGCTCCTGCTTCCCCTCCCTCCCTGGCACCGTGTCCCTGTGCAGTGTTCCCGGAGCATGCCAGGAGGGAGGTGTCTTGTAAGCTGTGCTACCTCTACCGCCACCGGAGGTATAATAAATTGGAAATAGGGGCAAGAGGGGCTTTTCAGAGGACGGGTTGGGAAAAGCAGCTTACGATTTCCCTCAGATCAATCAGGAACAGTAATAGAAGGATGTGCATTCTTCTGGAATTTATGTGGAAGATGGGAAGTGGAAATAAAGGTGAAATGGAAATACATGAAAGTTGTGTTATTTTGATGTACTATTGTTGGAAGATTTCTAGGAGGTAGGTTTATAAATGCAGTCTTCTCCTTTAACATGTGGAACTGCTAAAGACAATGGTGAGATTATTGTGTTGCTTTGCTAAATGATGAGGGCTAGATTGGCATGAATTAGAACTGAGGTTTATGTACAGCTGCTCGAGCCAGAAGTCTGTTGTAGAGAATGAATGGCTTTGATTCACTGGAGCTGAGATTAACATTAAGAACATGATAAAATTATTTATTTATAGAATTCTTTTGAATGAATAATCTCTTAAGATGAATTTACTTGAGATGAATTTAATATATATATAAATATATATATATACATATAGATATGGGAATATATATTGAACTGTTGCTAGCTGGAAGTTTGGTTTTTATTATTTTGATGCTAAACTTAGGTCTCTTTGTTAAATTGTCAGTTTTGCTGGTGTATAATACCAATAAGTTTATATTTGTACATCCATTATATATGTGTCCTTTAGAAATAATAGTTAAAAATCTAAATAACATGAATTTTATAATGATTTTCGAGGCACTAAGGTCATCATGGCAACCAGTCATCCAAACCATTAGTCATATGCTCTAATACCGATATTCTCAGTCAAAATTGAATGCAGAATTGTGAAAGAATTGCTTAGACATGTACTATGGAGTGACAGCCCCAGGAATAATAATACAGTAGCACGTGTTTCTCTTTTCAGTAAAGATTCTATATACTTAGGGCAGAAGGTGTAAGCTGCCAGGTGATATTCTTAGATAATGATTTTCATGTAATATTTAAGAGCTCTGCTTTTCACTCAAACCCGTTGAAGAGGCTTTTAATTCATGAACTCTTGCTCTTTATAAATTTTTTTCTACTGCTCCTGACACAGAATTATAGGCTCCACCTTCTCTGAGAGACAGCCAATCATCACTTCAACGAGTGAGGAAATAAATAAAAGATCCGTTTTATCCTTTCCTTACATTTCAAGTTATTGCTCCCTTAAAACATGTTGATTTTCCTTCAGAATAGCAGGGGCGCAATTGCCAAGCAATGCATTTTCTTTTAGATCAATAGTGTATACTCCTTGAAATGAAGTACTGCTTCTGAGGAATCCAAGACTCATGTTAAGCTCCTTGAGGTTTCAGGGTTCCTTGTGGCTGGTTTTGCAGCCAGTGAGAGCGTTGTGTTTCTGATGTCTCAGTGATCCACTGCTGCTGATAATTAGCCATCATTACTTCTGTGAAAAGAGAAAGAGAAAGGGGAGAGGACAGGCCTGGGCTAATTAACTACTTTAGTTTAATGAAAGAAAGAAAGACAGATAGCAACTGGGAGGTTATACTGGAGCAGGGTAGGGGCGCCTCATAGACTTAGCTGTAACAAGACTATCAGTTTCATAGTTAAAAAAGCTTGGTTCTGCCTCTTATCTTCCCTGCAGAATATATATGGCTTTGCAGGTTCTTTTGCCACTCCACCTCAAGCTTAACTGATGATAAAATCAAACACAGGACAACTGACTTAAAATAAAAACCGTTGACCACTGACAAAGATAAATATGCCCTTTAATATTTGTCCTGGCCATGTCTGAGGCTGAGGGGACCTATCTGTCTCTGCTGTTTAGATTGCTGTGTGGCCGAGTAGATAGATACTATTTGGTCACCAGGCAACATCGTCCTGTAACTCAGCCATTTTAGGTCTGGAGTGGGACCCACACTGTGTGCACATGTGCAGTTTGTTGCCTATCCCATCTGTTTTTTTTCAATACTCTCACTATTTTTTTAAAAATTTTGCTAAAAGGATTAGACATTTTGAAAAATAAAATGATGAGTAACTACAAACAGATCTGAAAATGACACAGCAAATGCCCAACAATGATTAGAACAAAGTTCCAGTCAATGATAATTTTAAATAAGCATAACTGAGGTTGCTCTGTTTTATTCCTTTGATAGTTGTAGTTTAGTTTTAGAAGCTTTTGATATTAAGATTTTGTTTTGGCAGTAATTAGTTGAAGCATCATATGTAGGATATAAATTACCAAGGCACATTCTATCACTGAATGCTAGGAGTGGTAAATAAAAACAGAAAAAAAAAAAGAAAGTTCTTTATACATTTTTCTTAATAATATGATTAATGCATGGTCTTGTATTTTTAAAACTGCATTGTTTAAAACTCTAAGTAGAAATTTGGTAAGGCCATGTTATAATCTTTCAGTCTCAAGCAAAATATTGATTTTTGAAATTGTAAAAATTTTCTTGACCTACATGTGTAAGAATACACACTAAGGTCTAAATTTTATTTTTTGTAATATTTGTTCTACTATGAAACAAAAATGAATTTTCATCCAGAAAGGAATATACATGAGCTTTAATTGTGTTATCTTAAAATGATGATTTATTCAGTTCTGCAATCTGTAGCTTCAGAGTTCATATTGTTCTTGCTGTGCACATTACTAATTGATTACTATACATTGATTAGAAGAATATTCATTGGTTGGTTCCCAAACAGTTATAGTTTTTGTTAGTACTTCAACTGTGATTTTAGTTATAAATCCTTTGTGCTACATCATAATGAAAGAAAGCATACCTCACAAGGAATCTGCACATTTCCACCTCTTCTAACTCCATACCTCAAGCACACATCCTGTATATTAGGACTTGATCTAGTCTGGCTGAAACTAAAGAGGAGGAACAGCTGTAGAAATCTATTAAGTGACTTTATGTCTAGGGCACAGAGAAAAGTATGATCTTGGTCACCGAAATAGAAGCATGTTTAACCTCTACACTTTCACCGTAGGCATTGCTGCCAATAGCCAAGTACTGTGGGACATACTATAGCATAAGATTTTGGGGTGAAATAAGTCTCAGGAAGGAACACCAGCAATGTGGTTTATTAGCTCACTTAAGGGATTGCTTGTGGAGACATGAAGCATCAATCATCTATGACACTCCCTTGTACAGTGTCTATTTCTGCTATCAGAAAGCACTAGGTATCTTTACTCTGAAGGGAACTCTGCTATATTAAAGGATAGGAGACATAGCGTTAACTCCACTCAATACAAGGAAGAAGCTATACCTTGTTAGTATATGGAGACTATCTCATACTTACCTGCTGGGAACATAGTTCTTGACTTGTACTTTGGAGGCTCTTCCTTGTCTTAGTAGTAACCACAATAAAGGGCGAGGGGAAAGATTCAGCATGTAGCTATCTGCCTTATATAAAATTCTGGGGCCAGCTAAGATTCTGCTCTTCATGATTTTACTGTCTAGACTCACTCCATGGATTGGAGGAAAATTGAAGAAGCAAATACAGTACAATAACAACTCAACATTCAAGAGTTTCAATTCTGTGTCAGGTTCATAGTAAGACATTTTCCTAAAAGCTAGTATATATTGTCTAACTAGGAAGGTTCGATGTGGACCTAGTCTATCAAACATTACATACATTTTTATATTTGGATGAAAATATCAACAATGTTAATGGAAGCCATATGTAGCAAGAAACATGGTACACAAGGCAGAGAGTAGAGATTTTATAGCAAGATCTAAATTATGGCACTGATATTTAACTGGAGTTGTGAGCTAGGTAAAGTTTCTTAAGTAACTTTGCTATTTCCCTTTAGTAAAGTATCAGTAATAGTACTTTTGAAGTAGTGTATGAAAATCTACAATACTATATACTATATATGCTAATATTTATAAAATAATATAATGATATTTATGTCTTTATGTGTGAAAGCATTTGATATAAATAGCAAATGCCTGGCACATAGTCAATGTTGGAAAAAGAGAAGTTCTAAAAACTATTATCAACAACCTGGGAGCCATAGGATATATTTATAATTTTGTATATGTTATAAACTAGGAATCACATTGCAACATGAAGTTAAAATGCAAGATATATGTGCATGTAGGTGTGTACATACATGTATTCAGATATTCTGCCTATTTTATTTTTGAAAAATGTTACTTTGATTTTGTAAGAATGATTATTCTTACCATTTAAAAAATCTACGTGAAAAACAAAATGAAGTGGAAAGGGATCAAAATATTGTGCTAAATTTTCTATTCAGGTACAACTACTTAGCTAATTATGAGCATGCTTATCTCTCACACTCATATATATATGCTTGAATATGATTGACATTTATATGTGGACAAGCAGAAATAACTTCTCAAAACTATAATGAAAATAATATGCTAAATAAAAATAATAAAATTTAATTTTACAAAAATAGAAAAAGTACATAAGATTAAATGAATTGCTAATATATAAAAGCTAATAGAGAAGATCTAAAAGAATAAGAAACTCAATTTCAGTTTTTTATGCACATTTTAATTTTAAACGTTATCATTGGCTTTCTCTAATATACAAAAGCAAACATTTTCGCTTGCAACATTTTCTTGTTATTTAACTCTTGGTTCATATCATATTTAATATATTATATTATAATTATTATATAATATATGCTTATTATTTGTATTGTATAATTATGTTCATGTATTTATATTTATTTTTAAAGTATATAATCTGACCCCTATGATTGGTTTCTTTTTTTCATATCTCCATGCCTTTTCTAACCTCTGATTTGTTTTATTTGACTACCTCTTATTGCTAAACAACATTTTTTCCCTAA